GCCTGAGATGACTTCTGTTGTGATTTGGCGCTATATAAATAAACTGAATTGAACCAATGGGCTCACTTCCTCTAAAGCCAAAACAGCAGAATAGTCTATCACTTTGACAAAAAAGAAACAAAAAACAATGCAAACACGTTTGCCAGTAAGAATAGTAATGGTATTTTATCAGATAAAAATAAGAGATCTTTAAAGAAGGCATATGCTACAACACAATAAAATCACATGCACATCTTTCTTTTAATATCTGAATCTCAGCCAGTGGGCATCCTGTGCTTTCAAACAGCAAATGCTATTATCACTGTCAAGCTTTATTTGTACAAGTATTCAGTTATACACAAGTGACACAACGTGTACCTATCTATTGAAGAAAAAATGATTCAATATTACATATGCAAAACAGCAAAAGTATATAATCTTTTACATTCAGAATTTTTATGGAGTTGAAGTTAAAATATCTTTGATTAAGTGCTCTTTAACAACAGGTCAACACATCCAATTAAAAGAGATTTGTGTAAATCTCAAGATAACAAAAAAACTAACCATAGCAATGCACAGTTAACCCTTAAAGGTATTCTGTGCTCAAATTTTATAAGCTGCTGTTTGTCTTCTCCCTTCCTCCTCCTCATTAAGTCACAGCCGGGTTTTCTTCAGCTTGACTGGTCCTGGATGAGGCCGAGGTTAAGAATTAGAACAGTCTGAAGCGTTTATTTAGCAACTTTCTTAACACAAATTAGTGACAAACATGGATTTGTTTTGATCATGGTGGCAGACAGATCAGCATCAGCACCAGCCTAAATGAAAGCCCCAAATCTTAAAATCAAATTAATGGAGGGGCCACAAAACTCATTCTAAGAAAATATTTCTTAAGGAAAGCTATTTTTGCTTGTAAGAAGTGCGATTTTCCCTAAATTTGGACAATTTCGTTTAAAGGCACAAAGTAGTTAGATTAATTTGCTAGTTTGAACAATTCTAGCCCAGTAAACTTTGCTTACTCATTTGTAGATTAAAAAAAAAAATTAAATAAGAAAATTTGGTCGCGTTTAGGAATATTTGGCTTATTTCGAGTAGTGCTGTTTTTGCAGTGCACTATGGCACAGTCATTAAAAAACAAACAAAACAAACACAAGTCCTGCGTGTTATTTAATTTGGTCTCATCCACCCATAAAACATTCATCCAAAGGCTTTCTTGTTTGTCCAGATGATCTTTAGCAAACGGCAGATGGTCTGCAATGTTCATTTTGGAGAGAGATGTCTATTTTCAGCTGCTCCAACATTCAACCCAATGTTGCTGTGAAACAAAAAACATGCAAACTACTGGAGCAATGCCTGCAACCGCCAAGTTATACTGGGTTCCAGCTTGTCCTTGATGAATATTGCTGACCAGGCTTTTGAAAAAAAATTTTTTTGTTTGTTTGTTTTGGGGGTCAAATAACTTTAGAGGAAGAGACGATCACAATGGCTTTTATTTTCACCTTCCTGTGTACAATTTCCCCAAACTCAAAATGTCACCAATACACAACTAAGCACAGTGTGACGATCACTTTAATAGATCCACGTTCTTTAAAGAAACCAGAACACCCACTTACACCTGACTGTCAATTTACAGACTGAAAATACTTCAGATTCTAATTATAGCTTCAAAGTTCCCGGGAATTTAAAGGTTTTTACTTACTTACGCAACAGAAATATGTACCACTGGATCATTTTACTTGTTAATAAATAAATGAGTCAAAAAATGTGCCAATTCATTTCACTGCATTCTTACAGTTCTTTTTAAGTGGGGAATTGATTAAGCTTAAAGTTGGGTAAAATAAATTCATAAAGGTTTACAAACTTTCAAGCACCGCTGCAGAATACTTAACAGATTTGTCTAATTTCCTTCACATTTACTGGTTTGATAAGTCATTTGTGTGAGTAGATCTATTTAATCTCATGCTGAAATAATTAAAGGTCCAGTCTATATTTGAGTCAGTAATGAACAATGTATTTTTAAAAAGCACTGATCCTGTAAATCTACAAAACAACAGCAGCTCTTAAGTCAACCAACGTGAGCAGGTGTTAATCACCGTCAGCTCTGAATATCTCTACAGAGGGAGCCTGCTGTTTTAATGAATCTGAATCAAGTACTGTCGTGTGTTCATACATCTCCATGTGTCAGCAAAGTTATGGCTAAATCCACCAGCTGTATACAGATGACAAACTGAGCAACCCCGCTCTCCTGTGAGATGGAGCAGAAACAGAATGCTGACAGATCTGCTGGCTGAGCTGCGCTGGAGGCAGATCAGGGAAATGTATTGCTGTCACACACACACAGGGTTAAAGGTTTGACCAGGGCTAAGCTCTCCACTGCGCTAGGCTAAAGTGCAGCCCAATCGACAGGCCTGTCACAATAACAAATGGTGCTGGGCGATTAATCGTCTCAGAAATTATTGCGATAAACGATAATATTGTTGGAAATTTGACGATAATAAGTAATTATTGTCAAATTTAAGAAGAAATGTTTGTTAATTTGTTTTGAGTGTTGTACCTACAGTATTTTTTTTATATATTTTTTATTTATTTACCCTTTATTTATACAGGAAGTCTCAATGAGCCA